GAAGACCTCCCTTACAATATTTCCAAAATTTTAATAAATCAAATTATTATGATTTAAAAACTTCTCATTCTCGGTTTATAAAGGCTCGATTTCAATCCAAAAAATATAATACAGCTAAGATGATAAATTCACGTTGGGGTAATTGTTTGGGTAAAAAGAAATAGACAGTTTTAAAGTATTGGATTGGTCCCATGACTTTGCATTGTGTTTGGAAAGTTCCTAAATTTTATATTGGACTACAATAGTCCTTAACTTTGAGCCATGTACCCCGTTAGTCCTTAAAAGAATTTTGTCCAAAATTACTAACTAACGTCCTACGTGAAAAAAATAAATTAATGATGTGGCATCTCATTTGAAGTTACTTTGACACTTGAATGCCAATAAGGGTAATTTTCATGGAAAATACGCTTTTAATCCATTTGTAGCTTGAAAGCATTTTAAAAAAATATAAAAATTTATCTTTGTTGGCATATTAATATGGGATACCACGTTATCAACATGTCGTCCAAGTAGGACATAATTCATTTTTTAGACTAAACGATGATTATAGTCCATTTTAAAGCTAGTGGATATTTTTCGCACATATTGTACAGTTTGGGAACCATTCAAATTTTTTATCCTTATTGATTTTGATATTGCATATGCATTTTGATAAAGTGTATAAGGAGTTAGAGTTTATGATGAGATGGGATCGCAAAGGAAAAAAATGATTTCATGATAACTTCGGATTTGTCCTTTTTTTGGCGAATTGTGTGTCTAATTCGATTGGAAACTGGCCAATAATCACAACTCATCGCCTTTGACGATGACGTACGTCGGAATTTGGGCAGATTCCATCGTTTAGGCAATCGATTAAGCGTTTTTGCTGTTTATGGTAATTTTTATTTTGGTAATATTTCATTCAATAAAATTCGGATTCATATTCCGTTGTTGGAGGACGGTCCTGAATCTTAGGAATTTTCATTTAAGTTGTTTGCTCGAATTTTTCCATTTATGGAAAAATATCATTTTTTTTAATTATTTATTTTCCGAATTTTGCGAGGGTTTTACTATTTAAAGTATTGTAAGCCCCTTGAGGCAAGACATTATTGAATAAAATAAAATTTTTGTAAGTTTTCTCTCATCTTTGGGAGGTTGTTCATCTTTCCTATAATCTTCCGCTACGTCACATTTCCTCAAGCTTGAATTTGATATTTTATGTATTCGAACTGTAGAGGACTTAAGAGTGTTACCATGCCTCTATGTCGAGTTCTAGCCTCTTCAACAACTCTTAAAGCTATGATCTCATTGTAGCCTTATTCTTGGACTATTGAGTTAGTTCTTATAAAAATAGTTAGACTTACAATATAATATGTAAGAATGGTTAAATGTCCGATAAAAACCTATTAGTTCTCAAACAATACCAAGTCTGAGGAGCATCTCATTCTATGTTAACCCCATAGCCATAGATGGCACAACATATAACAATTAATAATCTGCACATTCTTTATCTTTTTCTTATGTAAATTTTGTAAGTCGTATTTTAGCTTAAATATATAGATTTCGTGTCACTAAGCTCTTGTTTGATAGCCTTTATTTTATCATAAAATAATATTTTCTACAATAATTGCAGGTCTAGATGTCATGGTGTGTAATCATATCACCTCGAATCAATATGTTTCGTCCAAATCAATTTGTACTAGTAAATTAGACACGTCATTCAAGATAGCAATCGAAAATCAAATTCTCAACGAGTGACTGCATGAAAATAAAAATAAAAATAAAAAAAGGATATAGGATGGATCAACAATATTTAATTAATATAGCACTATAGAAAAAAAAAATTAAAAACGTTTTTAAAATGCCAAAATAAAGGGTGTCAAAGAGGGGCTAAATTATATAAGAATTCTAGCATACATCACATTAACATGTTAATGGTATTAATTACCTTAAGGCCATTTCTAATCCTACACTAAAATTTGCACAATTTCGCACCAATCTTACACTAAATTTTGCATCAAACTGAAAATCATCTCTAACCCATTACACCAAACATTGTACGAAATGAATAGTATTTAATAATTTTCTTCATTTTTTAAATTCTTATAAAATTATTTATTTCAAAAAATATTTATTTTATTACTACATAAATTATTAAATAAATAATTACGTTGAATTCATTAATAAATTTAAAAATGTAGTACAATTAATAGAAATACAACAACTAAGAGTATATAAATCATAATATTGAAAAATAGTGCAATATGTTTCGAATCGCAAAATCATGATATTACAAAATCGAAATAGTAATCACAATTAATTATTATTGATTAAATGACTAAAATTTATTACAAATGCACATGATGATGATGACGACGATGATGATAGTTAGAATTAGAATTAAAATTTATTGTATAATGAAATGGACAAATATGCCCTTAACAAAAATTGGTGTCACGTGGAAGAGGGGTTTAACCATTTTGGTGCAAAATGGTGCAATTGGTTGGAGAAGATTTGCACCAAAAATTTGGTGCATTTGCTGAATTATGGTGTAATAAGGATGGGTTGGTGATGCTCTAACAAGCGAGTTGAGCTCACTAACTAATTTTTGGTGATTTTTAACTCAATACCCTCTCAACTTTAAATTTAAACTAGAATTTATAATAAATAGTATATAATTGTTTAATTGTTCGGCAAAGTTTGAAGTTGAGCTTGATAAATTGATAAATTCAACCTGTAAAATTACTTCGCCTCAGGCCCCGCCGATCATAGGACCGGCCCTGATCTCATTATAGCCTTATTCTTGGAATATTGAGTTAGTTCTTATAAAAATAGTTAGACTTACAATATAATATGTAAGAGTGGTTAAAAAAAACCCATTAGTTCACAAACAATACCAAGTTTGAGGAGCATCTGATTCTATGTTAACCCCATAGCCATAGATGGCAAAACATATAACAATTAATAATCTGCACATTCTTTATCTTTTTCTTATGTAAATTTCGTAAGTCGTATTTTAGCTCAAATGCATAGATTTCGTGTAACTAGCCCTTGTTTGATAGCCTTTACTTTATCATAAAATAATATTTTCTACAATAGCTGTGAGCCTAGATGTCATGGTGTGTAATCATATCACTTCAAATCATATTTGTTTCTTCCAACCTTCTATCCAAATCAATTTGTACTAGTAAATTAGACATATGTCATTCAGGATAGCAATATGGAAAAGAACAAATCCTCATGTACTAAGGATTTGTTCACAGGGCCTTTAGAGGCCTCTCACAAGGGGGTCGGGACCCACTTGTATTAAAAAAAAGAAAAAAAAAATTTGTGCAGACCCCATACCATGTGTGTTGTCTGTATACAAAAATTTTGTACACTAAGGATGATTCTATGAAAAATCAAATTCTCAACTGGTGACTTCATGAAAATATAAAAAAAAAGGCTATCGGATGGATCGGCAATATTTAATTAGTATAGCTAAAAAAAAAACGTTTTTAAAAATGTCAAAATAAAGGGTGTCAAAGAGGGGCTAAATTATACATGAATTCTAGCATACATCAAATTAACATGTTAATAGTATTAATTACCTTAAGGCCATCTTCAACCATGCACCAAAATCTGCACCATTTTGCACCAAATCTTACACAATTTTGCACTAAATTTTGCACCAAACTCAAAATCATCTACAACACATTACACCAAAAGTCGCACAAAATGAATAGCGTTTAATAATTTTCTTCACAATTCTTAAAAAATTATTTATTTATTTATTTTATTACTACAAAAATTAATAATTAAATAATTACGTTGAATTCATTAATAAATTTAAAAATGTAGAACAATTAGTAAAAATACAAACTAAGAAAATATTAAATCATAATATTGAAAAATATTGCAATATGTTTCGAATTGCAAAATCGTGATATTACAAAATCGAAATAGTAATCACAATTAATTATTGATTAAATGACTAAAAATTATTACAAATGCACATAATAATGATGATGATGATGATGATGATGATGATGATGATGATATAAATTAAAATTAAACTTTATCGTATAATGAAATCGACAAATATGCCCTTAACAAAAATTGGTGTAACTTGGAAGAAAGGGATTTAACCATTTTGGTGCAAAATGGTGCCAATGAATAGCTGCACCAAAATGGTGCAGTGGGTTGAAGAAGATTTGCACCAAAAAATTGGTGCATTTAGTGAATTGTGGTGTAACGAGGATGGGTTGAAGATGCTCTAACAACACGCATTATTAACTTATTCAATGCAGTAAATAATAATTCTAACAAGTGAGTTGAGCTCACTAATTAATTTTTGGTGATTTTTAATTCAATACCATCGTAACTTTAAATTTAAACTAATAAATAGTATATAATTGTTTAATTGTTCGGCAAAGTTTGAAGTTGAGCTTGATAATTGATAAATTCAACCTGTAAAATTTAACATTAATTTCTAGATATTTCAAACGTAATTGGAATTTGGATCGCAATATCATAGTTTCGGATCTTGAAACCAATTGTTGATGGATGGTCCAGCGCGTTATTCGGGTACATTATACCATCCGCCACATATTTACACGTGCCAACTTAACGGATTATTCTACGGGTAATGCTATTCATCCCCACTGAGGATGAAAACACAGTCTACATAGCGTCAATGTGGCATTAAATGATAGGTAAAATCAAATAAGTCATTTAATTTCACCTTTCATTTAACCTATCGTTTAAAGCCATCTAAACTGTATTTTCATCCCCACTGGAGATGAATAACATTACTCTTATTCTACTGCCAAACCTATTTGACCAGAACTCTCCACTGCTTTCCACCTACATACAACGTGTCATCAAATTGGGAATTCTATTGCCAACTCGAAACTTCCTAGGACACGTGTCGACGACCCATAAAACCAGAAAACAAACCCCAGGCTTGTATCTATACAGGAGTAATTCCTGTACTGTTTTATCCAATTTTGTCCGAAGAGAAGTCAAGGAAGGTGCAAGAAATGGCAAATCCAAGTGATGAATTCAGGCTTGTATCTCCTCATATAGATCACGAGGGAAGATTGCCTAGGCAGTACACCGGCGAGGGACAAGGCGCCAAGAAGAACTTATCGCCACCACTCGAGTGGTACTATCCTTGTTTGGCATAATCATTTTTATTCACTTGTGGAAGTCACACAAGTATTATTCATTCTTTTTTTTTAATCTATTTATAATCAAACCAGATTATAGACCATTCCTAAACATGAATTTAGGTATATTTATTTTAATCTTGTCTTCAACAGGTACAACTTACCAGAAGGGACAAAGAGCTTGGCGTTGTTGGTGGAGGATCTTGATGGGGGGGAACCTGACGGACCAATTGTGCCGTGGGTTCATTGGGTAGTGGTGAATATACCCCCGACGTTGAAGGGGTTGCCGGAGGGGTTTTCCGGTAAGGGAGAAGAGTTGGGAGGAGAGTATAGTAAGATTAAGGAAGGGATTCATTATTGGAAGCAGCCGGGATGGCGTGGGCCGGTGCTGCCACATCATGGGCATAGATTCCAGTTCAAGCTTTATGCCTTGGATGACGAGCTTCATCTTGGAAATAAGGTACCGGTTGAACATCTTTATTTTATGTATCACAGTCTCATTATCCAATGAACTTTGAATGCGTTCTCCCCAATAAACCTATAATCATATAGATGGATAGCATTATTCATTCAGAATGGCTTTGATCTATGCAATTGATAGAAGAATAATCCTCCTTGGACAATAAGGATGCAAGGACAGGGGGGTGTGACAGATAATAATTGAGTGTTGTGTTTTTATTTTTTTTCAAACTGTCCAATCATAAGTCATGTTTGTGTAGCATGATTGTTAGATAGAATTACATGATCTTGTCGTCTTTTACAGGTGACAAAGGAGAAGATGTTGGAGGCAATTGAAGGACATGTGCTAGGGGAGGCTGTTTTAATGGCAAAATTCTGATATGGATTGAGCTCTTTACTCCCTGCATTTTCTAAGTGAGTAATAGCAAGTGACGATTTGAAATATTTTACTGTTTTCTTGTAGTAGAATGTTTTAATCTCGAGTATATGATTGCAATATTGCATGTTTGTGGAGAATCATATCTTGTCAATATGTACTGCTGGAATAAGAAAATGTCATTTTCCGAAGAGTTCCCGTTTGGCCTCCATTATTTCTCATTAAATTATATAATTCATTTTTCTCTCTCTTCTTATCAATCACACATTTTTCAATAAAATATCATTACACATTGAAAAGGCCCAAGTCACACGATATTAAAACAAGATCTAAAAGAATCAATCTCAAACACAGAAAGTAAAGTTGCAGAAAATTAAATGATTGAACATAAGATATATTTCGGCCTAAGTCCCGAAGGTTCGGCAACCGATGTAACGCCTACATTCCCGTTGAGCATCCAAATAATGGATATTGCTTGGTTGCACTAATAGCCAAAAATATGGCAGCCAACAATTACAAATAGTTTGAAAATACAAAACAAAGCAACAGAGACTTATCTTTACACAAGGCTTTGGATCGAACACATCCTTAAGGTACAAAACAAGATATATAACAAAATTCTGTCAAACACCTCATGAACCACTCGAACCAGGAAGATTCGGTGTACAAATCACTCAAAAACTCTTACTTCTCAACAATCAGAAATAGATCTAAGAGATTATACAGTTTACACAATCTAAACACTCAAGAATGTGAAACCCTATGTAAGAATGAGATTTTCTCTCTCTGAAGGAAGAAGAATAGACGCGAGAGCCCAAAAGTCAAAATGAACTGAATGAATCTCGCAAAACGTCTCTTGGAAGATATAGATAGAAGCCTCTAGAATCACATCCAACGGTTAGTGAAATGCCAAGTGTCAATAATTTAGCCTTAGTCTCCGATTAATAGAAGTGTCAATCCTAGAAACACGACTTTAAAATAATTGTTGGGAAGCACACATAAGTCACAGGTTCAAGTCTTAACACACATAAACACAAAAAATTTTCCTTTTTTTTTAACCACACATTCTCCAAAAAATTACTATTCTTCTCAGTATAATTTAGAATAATGGGGCCAAACGGGTTTGATGTTAATTGTTACAATTAAATTGTATATTATTGAATTTTCACATATGAATTGTTGTGCATCCATAAAGTAAGACCAGACTAAATAGAAGTTGATAGAGAAAAAGAATAGAAATACCCTTAACGCCTTAACGGTGTTACGGTTGATCGAAAGTCAAGTTATAGGTTGTTAATGGGTCCGTGAACGTCTTGGCGGCCGTATTATAGACCAACTTCCCAGGAGCACATCAAGTCCGTGTTCGGTACTAATTTAAATTAAAATTTTAATTTAAGTCAAAGTCAACGATTAATTTTAATTACATATTTTATAGATCTCACAACTTTTTAATCATTTATTTCATCAACTTTTATCAAAATGTGTTAAAATTTTAATTTGATCCCCACAAAACCGGGGCCAAGTGATGGTAGTTAGTAAATGCGACGAATCGTTGTGCCGCCACAAGTTCAAGTAATACACCTAGCTAGCCTTTGGAACACATTTTTTATCCAATGACGATTAAGAAAATATGGGTTTTGTTTTCAAGTTTCATGTATCGAAAAGAAACAATGTTTTATTGGTGTGGACTTGGTGAGTGAGAGACGAGTCGGAGATTGTCATAGTGGATTGAGCAAGTGCGAGATAATACAAAATGTTATTGGATTCCAAAATGTTTCTCGATCAAGCTATTTTAAGTAAGTCGCAGTCACGAGCAAAATGGTAGCATTTTTCTAGGGTTTTCAAGCACGAGCAGTATGGTATAGAAAATTTGTTGTAGGTTTTTTTGCTTGATCAAGGGGTCTAGAACCTTTCACTCGAGAGAAGATTTTGCGTACAAATTTGTAGATTTTGAGTTTCTGCCATGAAAAGGAATCTTGGAGCTATTCTCGTAAGAGCGTCTCTAGCATTGCATCATTTCACTATAATTCACCAAATTGAACCAAATATTTGGTGCAAGTCTCCTCCAACGTATTGCATCATTTTGCACTAAAATGGTTAAATACAATTTTATCTTTCTATTTCATTTTGCAAAAAAAATTTGGCTGCGAGTATTTGTGTACATTTTTTTCATACATTTTTGTAATGCAATAAATTATTATTATTATTAATTAAGGAAAAAATTAAAATAAAAGTAATCATAAAATTTTAAAATGTAACAAACATGATTTTTTTTAAAGTTAATTATTTATTTCGTAATTTATTTAGTTGTAAAATAAATAAATTGTTAAGAATAAAAAAATAAAGAAAAATGAGTAAAAATTGTTCATTTGGTGTAATGGATTGGAGATGATTTGAAGTTGGTGTAAAATTGTGTGAAATTTATCTTAAATTTTGGTGTGATGTTGAAGATAGTCTAAGAAAATTTGAAAAACGAGAAGAGTATCGATCTGTCGTCACATGTTTCAAAGTCTTACAAATTTTTTTATTTCAATGTTTTTTTGGTACTTCCATTATTAATTAATTGGCCAAGTGATTAGAATTATGATGATTGTTTACTATACGGAATTATTTGACAAGTGAAGGTCGTTTTTATCTCGAGCCTTCTAAGAGAATTTTCAATGTAGTTTTATTGAGCCTTGACTTTGAGGGTGTTTTGCTATTTAACTCGAAGTATAAAGAAATATATTCACAATAGCAGTCACTGTACTATCACATGCATTTAGCAAAGGTCTTTGAACAAGTCAGCAACAGAGCATCAAGTGTCCTATCAGCTGCAACTTTTTGGTTCTCGAAGCTTCAAAGTCAAGAAAAATAACAAGTGGAACATAGCCTCCGTTATTTCAAATTTTAATGGTTGAAATAATGGTTTCTTCTTTTGAATGTGTAATAAAAAAGAAAAATAAATTTTGGGATCACATGTAATATTATTTTAATTAATTTTCAGCTCTCTAAAATTAAATGGCCTCTCTATTAGGCTCAAATATCCACAATAGTTTAATTTTTATACGAGAGAGAGAGAAATGTGAAAAATAATGTGTTCTTATATCATCGATATTTCTTCATTATCATAATAAGTAGGATGACTCTAAACACTTTTAATGAACACCTTCGTGCTCTTATCTATGAGGATCATAGCCCTCTATACAGGGACGAATTCAGGGTTTGAGTTCAGCTAGGACGGACGGCGAACATTGAACGCTTACGGTCAACGGTCCACGTTTGTGATAGCAGTGTTGTTTATTAATATTTAATTAAATAATATTCAAAAAATCGTACGGACTAGAACTAGAAAAACTAAATACACCACTAGAACTAGGTACCAACTTTCATTTCAGATGAAAAAATCGTTATATAATCTGGAAAATGTTCTAATTTATTTTTCAATCAAACATGCAATATATATTAACAAAATAACAATATTCAGTTTACAATTAAAGTTAATTAAACAACCATTATTATATTAACAAAGTTGAAATTATTTATGTGCTTATATCAATTTTGCCCCTGTTTGGCCCCCATTATTGTAGATTTTTAGGGGGTTGAAAATTTTTAGAATAGTGATTGATGGGAGATGTGTGGTTGAAAAGTTTTAGATTTGTGTGTATTATTATTTTATTTGATGAATGTATAGTTGAGATGAAGAGAGAGAAAAATTTAATGTAATGTAATAAGTTTTGTTGAAAGTCTCCTTATGACACTAAGGCCAATTTTTTTTTACAAATTCATTCGTCATTAATTGACCAAACTCCCAAATAAATTGATTAGAGAAAAAAATAATCAAGAAGAGGGACAAATCGTCGGTTAAAATATTTTTGTTTGCATTAAAACATGTAAAATGAACCTATATTATTTTGTTTCCTTAAGTGAGATAAATTAATGATTGTCATGATGGTAAATCTATCAATATACTTTAACAAATGTCACAGGTTCAAATCCACTTTGCACTTGTTTTTGGTAAAAATTGTTTACAAAAATTACACAACATATTGGCATTGTAAGGTTTTGAACCCGAGACCTCTGATTTAATAGAGGAAACGCCAACCAACTGACCTAACAAGGATGATTGTAAATAAAATGAATTATTAGTTATATAATATAAATTGTTTATCTATTCTTGACAAAAAAAATTTCTTCTCGATGGATCCAGCTAGGGCGGTAGCCCTAGATCGCCAGCCCCTAGATCCGCCCCTGCCTCTATAGCGTAATAATTATCAAGCTTTATAGACGGGCTTGTTTTTCAGTTCAGTTTAATCCTTGTTTGAGTCACATTATTTTCACACGAATGCATTTTTTTTATTTGATGTGATGATGAATATATGGTTGAAAAAGAAGGAAAAATTATTGATGTGATATAAAATATTATTTTATTGAAGAATGTGTGGTTAAAAATGAGTAGAAGAATGAGAATGAAAAAATAATGTGGCTCGAACAGGGCAAGACTTATATCCTATCAAATTTCGATATTCTTTAAATATACATTTTTCAGTTTAGTTTAAACCTTAATACCCTATCAAATTTCGATATATCTTTAACCATACATTGTTTTTTGATAATCAATAAATTTCGGATAATAATGTTAAACGGTTTGAATTAAATTTTATTGGCTCAGTCCGAAAATAACTTAGATCATTGGAAGTAGCTTGTTAATTAATATTGCTCATGGGCCAATTTCACTTCTTAGAGGGCTTTTAGTCTTGTAGTCTTGGCCCAACTTAATTCATAACCTATCTCTATTTAAGCCTCCTTTTGATCGTGATCCTCCATTGTTTACTCCTTTGTGCCTGCAAATAATCATCAATATATCTTGTCATTTGTGGGTGAATAATTGTGGTTTGAGTCTTTTGATTGATCGTTGTTCAATATTGGTAGCGTGAAGCTGGACTCGAATTTCATCAAATCAAAGTTCTTGGAGCATACTTCCGCGACATACATATTTTAAGTTCTTAATATAATAAATTTATAGTTTCAAACGCGTAATTATAGCCAGACAAACACTAAACTAACGTGAATTTCATTTTTTAAATTGTCTTTAGTAATTTTTAAATTTTTGGTACTTGAACAAAGATTCATGGGAGGCAAGAGCACATGAATTCACGGGTATTACGTAGTGGTTGGGAAGAACCTTAATTATAGTTGCTTGTTCGATATTACCTTCTTTTTAACTGCCTGCCTCAATCCAATCTACATCAGTCGCAAACATTTTCTGCTACTGCCTACTGCTGCTGATGTATATTGATGATACATGACATGTAGATAGACATATGATAATTTTACTTCTTCATTAAACTGTTCCACCTAAAACTCTGTCATCAAGTTAATTTGTAACATCTTCTTGCTCATCCGGTTTGATTCTCAACATTGATGACTTGATGTGATGGATAACGATCATATTTTTTTCATTTGTATGAATGAAAAATGAAAAACAAATGGGGGCTTAATGTGAACACTGAAAATAAATATTTTTTTTCAAAAAAGCTTGAAGTCCAACAAGGGGCATGTCGAGCCTAAAAAAATTTAAGTCTTGGTGATGTGACGCAGATTATTTCGATCAATTACACCCCCAACTCTCGATTACGTGATCTATTGGAGTCATAGTCAAGTGAACAGTATTTCTTGGAATGACCTTGTACCAGGTCCTCATGTGGGTGGGACATACCATTGTCGATGCGATATGATTCATGCTACTTTGATCTAAAATACCCTTTAAAAGAAGAGCTAATCAATTACCAAAAAAGTACTTTACTCAGTAACGAGAAAAAACATGTACAGTATACTTTGTTTAACTAAACAGTGTGAATCCTAGGGAAATAGGAAGATTTATGAGGCTAACAACGAAACTCCCGGTTCTTTAGTTCAGACAAATTTCTTTGATTTCAGAGGAGGCCCAAGGCCCCCCTTCTTTGTTGGGAGTCACTTAATTTCCTTGGGATTTGAACCCTATCGTATTCACTCATTCTAACCTGTCTAATCCTAACTTTTTTCCTTTTCCGTAAAACAAAGTCCAACTTGTCGCACTAGCAGGATCGGTTGTGGTTAATAATAGCATTGCATTGACTATAAAATTAGAGACTTCAAAAATAATAAAAAAATTTGAATTTACGTTTAAAATAATTTATTAAAAAATACTTTGTTAATAATTTACATATCGAGTTAATACTTTTAGGTTTCTCATGATAACTTAGTCCGTCCTCTTTGGTGCTTGAACACCATCCAAACGATTGATATTAAAAATATCATATGCTTCGTTAATATCTCTTCTAGAAAATTGATAGCATTTTTTCAGCATATAAATTGAAGATCTCGCTCAATAAGAATATAACTATCGAAAACTACTGTAAGGGTTAAAAATATCATATCCTCGTCAATATCTATTGCTCTATAGCTTAAAATTATTACCAAGTTTTTAGGAAGAAGTATAATGAATTCAAAAAAATATGGTGAAAATTAATTTTTGATTTTGATTGTGTGGAGAATATTCGTTTTACTTGTTTAAACATTAGAAAGTTGAGAAAAAACCTTTGCGTACAAACCTCATTAGTTTTTCAGACCTATGTCCTAGGTTAAACACCCGTATCCCCACCCAAAGATTGGCTGACGATTTGTCACCTAACATCGGTATACTAATTACTATCCCGCTATATATATCACATGCATATTTGTCTCTTCTTCTCAACCTCAACTCGTGTCCTGATACAATTTTTTCTTTTTCTTCTGTGTTTTTTTTATTATTGGATGGATTACTCGTACTCACTCAACCCCAATTCTTGCGAGTCCACTTCAGTTCAGAACAATAATAATGTGAATCGCAAAACGAAAAGTGGTGGCTTAAAGAGAGGAAAAGTTATGAAGCTGTCGACTGATCCACAAAGCATCGCCGCTAGGCAACGACGCCGCAGAATCAGTGACAGGTTCAAGATTTTGCAGAGCCTGGTTCCTGGTGGATCAAGAATGGATACAGTGTCTATGTTGGAAGAGGCAATTCAGTATGTCAAGTTCCTCAAAACACAGATTTTGATTCATCAGACGGCCATGATCAACTTCGCAAATGATGATCCAACGCTGTATCTTCAACCAAATTCACTTCCATTTCATTATCAGAGTGATCATGATCTGTGTCCCGAAAATAATTACTCAGGGCATCAAATTGAGCAATCCCCAAAAGTTGGGTTACCAAATTCTTGCTTTCATGGTGAAGAAATTATGCCTGTTGATGCATACTGCTACTACTAGATAGTTTGTGTTTCAAATATAGGACTATGAATATGGAAGATTAGTAATGGTTTACTTTTTTGCCTATGAAAGGGACGTGCTTTGATTCGTGTAGAAAATTTGGAATGAGCTGTAAATGTTACTAATGAGACCAGCTTAATTGTCAAAACAGAAAATGCTCTACTTGTACACGTGAATTTACAGGTGCTGATAAGACAGAATTTAATTAGCTGGTTTAATTTTATCTTTTGTTTAAAATTCAATGAAATCTTGCTTGAACAAATCCGTAAAAACAGCTTGTACATGTGGCATTTCTCGTCAAAAATTCTAGTTTAGCAGAACGTCTCTACAAGGAAAGGGATTAGAGATCTCAAGCACATCAGTGTACAAGAATTTTTATTCATCAAATAGATATATTGGTCACCTGCACAAATAATATCGAGTCAAATATATTGGGTCTTCCAAGTCTCAAAACATGATACATTTTGCAAAACTTAGTATAGGAGTAACACGGTCCAAATTACAAATATACTATTTTATAACATAAATGATGTCTGTACACGACTTTACTTTCCAAATGCCCCGTTCACATTGCTGATTCCAGAAAATTCCTAACATGGAAAGCTTGTCCAATATGGGCAATGCTTTAACGGTATAGGGCTAAAGGTTCACAAAAAATGGCCAGAAACGTCACTACAAGTCTACAAACAACAGGCTAAACTCAATTCGTTGAAGAACGATAAAAGATATACTGGATAAAACTTTATTTTCCCAAAATAAGCAGAAAAGTTATTTTGATAAGCATCCACAATTTCCTTTACCGATAAAGCAACTCATGTTCGTCATAAACTCGGAGCTCCAATTTTCAACAATCACCACAGAAAGTTTATTCTCATATGATATGGCTACACAGAATTTTGAACCGATACATTTCACATACATCAAGGACAAGATTGATTACAAAAGCCCACTTCTTGGTGCCTTATTCTTGTTCTTTATATTTTTAATCACTTTCTCGTTTGTATACTTTCTCTACGCGTGCACCCATCGTCGCCGTGACAGCACCACCACTCACCCTGATGGATCACTGGCTCGGTCGAGGTCTCCGGCAGGGCTCGATGCAGCCACCATAAGCAGCCTCCCGATATTTTCATATGGATCAAGTGCCAATGGCAAGAATTCAAGCCCAGATTCGGAATGTGCAATTTGTTTAAGTATGTTTCAAGAAGGAGAAAAGGTGAAGGTTTTGCCTATATGCCACCATGGTTTTCACTCAGAGTGTGTGGACAAGTGGCTAGGAACTCGTTCTAATTGTCCTCTGTGCAGAGCCTCAATCCGCCGTAGTCATGGTGATTTGGAGATTCCATGAATTTTGTTTCATTTTCAAGAAAAAGTAGAAGCTTTTGTTTGCAGTTGAGGTTCCTCTTCTTTTTGAATTTTTTGAATTTTGTGGACCCTATTCCAAATTATAGAATTAATGCACGATTATTCGATCATGTTCTTGGGTTCCTTCATACGATAAATTGGCAACAGTACTTTGAGCATCTCGACCATATTGTGTAATGTTTGCCCCCATTCAAATGAGATTTAAAAAATATGTATTTTAATATGATAATTTTTAGAAAATATGTGAATAGAAAATAAGAAAAAATTATTTGCAGAAAACAACAATTTGTAAAAGAATGTCATTAAAAAAAAATTCTGAAAAAAATCCATTTTTCATAAAATGGAGCCCAAACAAAGGACAAAGCAATCCACGAACTCACGAGGCAATTTATTTCTCAAAAAAATTAATAAAATAAAACAAAAATTGAGCTAATTCGTGAAAAAGGTGAAATCATTTCATGACTCGCTTCAAAATAAATTGGAGCAGTCCATAGATCGAGTTAGCAAGCAACTCAGCTTGTTAGTCATATGATCGAAGCACCCAATACCAATGTTCTAAAATGCACGCATATGCTCGATTTTTTTTTTTTCAAAATGCCTCACGTATGGGGTATCCACATAATAATGCTGTCACCAATCTTGTTGACCGTATATACATGCTTAAACGGCAAAATGTTTATGTATTTATATTAAAAATTGTGTCAAAATTAATCTTGCAAAGCTCGTCCCATTTTTACAACTT